TCCCCCTGTCCCTTCTCTTCCCCCCCGGGTAACAGCCGATCCCTGAGCTTCTGAGGTGAAATCTCAGATACCTTCACTGCTGCTTCTTTCTCTAGTTTAGGGTCCTCCGACTGGAAGTGTTCAAGCTGCTCAGATCACTGGGCTGCACCGTCAGATTCTGATCCTGTAGGTCTGGAGCAAGACGTGAGGATTCGTGTCTATAATAAGTGCCCAGAGACACTGCTGGTGGTGCGAGCCATTGCTCCACACCTGTCAGTTGCCTGTTGAATTTTCTTTCTGTGGCCTCTCACTGACTCCCACCGACTCCATTTCCTTATTATCTCATACCGGGACATCTGAGCTCAGGTTGCTGGTGCCTTGCCCACTCCCCTCTGCAACCTAAGGTATAGCTTCTGAACATGCTATTTTCATTCACTCCCTCCTCTCCCCACATTCTTCCAGATGTTGCACCTCTTGGAGAAGATAGTCGAGATTTCATGTGACATCAGAGGCTTCCTGACTCCAAACTCTGTCTGCAGTCTGATCTCCTTTATTCGAGAGCAGGCATTTTGCCCCAACTTCATGAACATTGGTTCCTTAAGGACTCTATGTTATTTCCACCTCTTTGGTAATTGTTCAGAGCATTGAGGAGTGTAAAATTGGAACCACATCCCAGGTGTGTACAAAATAGAGCCAGTCAGTTATCATGCAGGGCCCCAGAGTCTCCGTCTTCACCACCTGGTTTTGGTAATATCTGGGCACTCTTACACTCTTAGCAGAGATGGCATGAAGACTGATGAGAAAATGCATTCAATACATGTACTGCCATGCCTAACTCAGTAGCTACCCTGGCAGTTCATGATGTTTACTTACATATTTAACAGTATGTACAAAATGTTTGTTGTCTCTATAATGTAGCCCACACTTCAACCTGGGCCTGTGCAAAAGGTTTCTCTGACTGAAGTTATTGGTGCTGTTCAAAGTCAAACCATGACTTGGGAACCAGCAGTTAGCATGACTGTGTCGCTGGACTCCCACGTAGTCGACCGCGGTTCGCGTCCCGGACCCGGTGGCTTAAAACTCACACCGGGTGCGTGTGCGTGCGTGCCCAAGATCCCGAGAGGAGAATGGAGGAGAAGGAATTGCGGCGTGACCATCCCCCCCAGGGGGTGATTTCTCGCTTTCTGTCTCTATGTCTGTCTCTGTCTGTCTGGTGAGCGCGTGCACCCTATAGCAAAAACCTCTCCAAAAAAAAAAAAAAAAACCATGACTTCAGACTCATTAGCCAACCATTCACCTGACCAAGTCAACAAATCTGGGACCCTCTTCCCAATGGCAGCTAAATTGGCAAGTATTTGTGTGCCTCAAATAGTCAAGTGTCATTCATCTTATCCTTTGTTAAGTTTAGGGACAGCCCCTGGCAGGACCAAGGTTTTTGCTGTCAGTCTCAAAGAAGCCAAGACTTGGACTAATTACATCAAAAGAACAGTTGTTGGCATTATCTCACGTTTGTTTATGTGAGGTTCTGAGTTTGCAAAATAAAATTACATTCTCTCATTATTTTTTTGAATCTAATCTTCCCTTTGGAAAATAAATGTTTTAAAATCATTTCCCTTTATTTTTTTAGGCTTACCTCCAATCCCTTCAGCTTCCAGAACAGGCTTTGCAGAGTTTTCCATGAGGGAGCGCATGAGGGAGAAATTACAAGCTGCACGGGTGAGAGAAACCGCATGAATATTCTATTCAGTGCTGATCGTGTTTTCCTGGCTTTTGTCTGGCTTGCTCTGTGTGCTCCCTACTGCGTAGATTGGGATACCGTTCAATGCATCTTTCAAGTTTTAAATGTTAATGTTGTATTTTGCATTGACATAAATAAAAATTATGCCTCAAAATGTAATGCTTTCTAAACAACATCACTTTTACCCCTTAGAGACATAGCATGCATCTTTCACTGATTATTCCCTAATGAGATGATCACTGAGGTTTTCACAGTATTCGTGATGTTATGTCGCAGTAATTATCTGTTTGACTTTTTAGTCCAAAGCAGAAAGTGTGTTGCTGCAGGAAATTCCCACCCCACAGCCCAGGCGCTTACGAAGACCAAGTGAGAAAGAGTCGGAGACTGAATTTGGCACTGAGGTGAGAAAGGAACCATTTTTACGCTGTGGTCAAAGACGGTGAAGCAGGATGTCAAATTCCCAACAAAAGTTTCTAGAATAGAGCTATACGCAGAAGAGGTGTTAAATACTTATTAATGATTGTAAGAGGCACTATTTGGAGGGTACTGTCGTGTGCCAGGCATTTTGCCAAGTGTTCGTCCCATGCGATAGCACTTCACTATCACAGTACCCCTCCACAACGGGTATTGTGATTTTCATTTACATTGGACAGGTGAAGAAACTGAGGCTCTGAGAGGCTGTGAAGTCATTCCATTTCAAAAATGATGTATGCGGAAGATTCAGGATTTGATCCCAGCTACATCACATTTCAGTCTGTCTCATTGAGTCGATGGCCCAGTGAACGGTTGCCAAGTCTGACCCACTTGGGTTTTGTTGTTGTTTCGATTATCTTTAACTGTTGACACAAAGAACCATAGTTTTATGGATATTTCTGCAGGACAGCAATAGCTTTTTTTAATGATACTTTTTCTATAATGAGCTCTTATAAACTGTTGCCTCTGCTTATCCCAAACTGGCAACATAGTGCATGATTATAGAGAAGGTTACAACCTTGCTTATGTTTCGTTGTCCATGGTTTCTTATGTTAAAAGAAAAAACTTCCCAAAACTTAAATTTAGTGGAGTTTAATTGAGCTTATATTAACACGATTCAAATCAGGAAGTTTTCCAGACTGACTTCTAAGCAACTCTGGGTAGCCTCATGGTCATGCTGTATTTAAGTTCTGGAAAGGGAAAGCAATGTGTGCAGGAAAGGGAAAGTGACATGCAAAAACGAAAGTGAAGGAACGAGGTAGAAAAACAATTGGATTGGGACAGCAGAACCAGCAGGTGACATAACGGTTACATCGCTGGGCTCCCTCATAGTCAAGAACAGTTCAAGTCCCAGACCCGGTGGCTTAAAACTCATGTTGGGCACATGTGAGTACGTGTCCAAAATCCCGAGAGGTGACTGGAGGAGAAGGGACTGGGGCAAAGTTTGTTTGCATCAACACAGTTTAAAGGGTAAGATACCTGTGACTGACTGAAGCTTAGCTGGTGTGATTGGCTGTAACCTAGCAACCAACCAAAAAGCAGCCTTCGAAATGAAGTTGCCATTTATTTATGGAAACCAAAACAGGAGTAGGGAGACTTTTCTAATATTTTGTAACAATTTACCCTTTTGGTCAGCCTCTCAATTTTGAGTATTTGCCTAAAAGTTTGGACATTGGCACCACTCTCTGTCACCACCATAAATGACATTTTCTTGCTTTCAACATAGAATTCAGACGTTTTCTCTGTTCTCTGGCATGGAATTCATAAGTCACAGTGTGACACAAGTTGAACAATTCCTTTTCTGTGTTCTTGCTGATCTAGTTGAGGCAAGATTTCTTCAGTGCTTGATGGATGTCTGCATTCCAAACATGTAGAGGGTACAGCACACCAGGAGGACTAACGTGACCACTAGGTGGGTTAACATCCAAAACCCAGACTGTGCTCCTTAACCAAAGCTTCCATTCATCTTTGGTAGTCTAGTGATAGAAACCAGAATAACCTAGAGGCCTATTACAAGAAATGGAAATATTAGAAATCTTGGAAAACCCAAGCCTTTTATGTCACCATTAGGATGTCTGTCAGTCACCTGTTCCTTTAGTGTACCTGGATAGGTACAGTGTTTAGCTTTGTTCAGTATCAAACGTAATCCCCTAACTTGGACAAAAAGATCTAAAGCTATGTAATAATTCATGAAATGTTTTTGCTAGCTTGTATGTTAATAATTTACCTTTTGGAGGGTGGCTTTTACCCACCTGAAACCCTAGGAGATCTGTTTGACTACCAAATTTGAAAATTCTCTCCTGTTTATGGATAAGCTTTAAATACAACTGATATGCCATTATTGCCGACAGAATCTCCAGGAACCCTACTGAAATCTATTCTCACTGTAAACTAACTTATCTTTTCAAAAATATCAAAAATAGTCTTTTACTCTTCCTCTGAGTTTTTAGGGTGACTTTGAAACAGAGAGGCACAGGCATCAGAGGAATTGTTTCCTGAGCTTGTCTACATTAGCTCCTAAACCCAACAATTACTCTGGTTTTGTGCTGGGACATAAGCTCACATTACAGTCAACCACTGATTACGGTCCCTGGGATTTTCCTGTGGGGAAGAAGAAGGAATTAAGGCAATAGGAATTGAGAAGGAGACAACATAAAGTTTCATGATGACAGAGTAGTCTTTGTTGATATTAGACAGGGCTGTCTGTGTCTAAGATGCCTGTTCCAAGGAGTAAGTTTTCCTGGCCTGTTTTACCTTACAGTCCCGAATAGGTGCAAGTTTTAAAAATCCAAAGTAGTCCTTCTGAGTTGTGAACCCAGATTTCAAGGTCTTGAAGCTTTACTGCGGCATCAGTGGTGAGAAGAATTTGGTATGATGTCTTCCAACAGGGCTCCTGAGCAGTCTTTCTCTAGTGTCATTTCCCAAAGACCCTAACTGTGGACCATGAAGGGTTTGACTGTCTTCAGCCAGTAAATAACAAACAGCACCCCTTACCTGGTGAAAATACACTTTGGCATAATGTATTAAAGCCTGGCAGGGTTTAGTCACCTCAGATTTCTCCAGAAATGTCTCATGAGAGAAACATATTTTCTAATAACCTTTTAAATATTGTCACAGCATTGCCTTCCTTTATGGGAAAGGTCCTACACAACTAAAAATAAGCAATGAAAATGGCAACGAGTAAATCCCTTTACCACACTGAAGTGGCGTATTGCTGGGCTGTTGGAAGTCATGGCATTCTTCTGTCTTCTCTATGCAAGATGCATCATGACTTTCTGACAACCCAATAGAGTAGTTTACTAAAAAGACCTGCAGTTTTTATTGTCTTTTCAATATCAAGTTGACAGACTGAACATTGGCTCTAAGACATTTTAGCAATGTTAGAGTAGTCACTGTACTAATAACACTATATAGTTTCCTTAATTATATTTATAGTTTATATATATATATATATACATACACACACACACATATATATACATACATATATATATTTACATATATAGAGAGAGTTTTTTAACCATACACACACATATGTGTGTGTGTGTGTGTGTATATATATATATATAATCTGTATCATTTTACCTATTTTATGAGGCATGGAATGTCGAGGTTTTAAATGAGAGTTCTAAGGAGGAGTTGGGAAGAACTAGGCACTGTTCATAGGCTCTCCATGAGTCTATGCTGAACACTGGATTTGCATTCTTTTATATCAGTTTTTCCTCTTTAATTTAGATGCACAGCATTGCTTATTAAATAGATTGTCACACTAATTTGAGTTAGGTCAATCTTATGGAATTCACTTAAATTATAGACCTTAACAATTTACATTTGATCTTAGAGAAAGGCCCAGGAAGTGATGCATAGCTTAGCCATTTTGGTATTAGCTGTCTTAGTGTGCAATCCTGTCAGAACATTTTCTTGCTTTTCATTAATTTTGACTCTACTTAATGGTTGACTTAGCAGTTTAGACAACCAATCACTTTATAGAAGCTGGAAAGCTTTTTTACCCAGTTTAATAGTCAGATCTTCAGAAACCTGTATGTACAAGAGTATATCCTCTTTCCATCCTTTTTATGCATTTCCTTAAAGACATAACACTTTCAGATCATGGTCATTTGAAAATAGCTTTTTAGAAAGGCATCAAACAAAGCAGTTAACCATGGACAATAAGGCTTGAATCAACCATAGTTAAAGATCTGACAAGAATTTACAACTGACAAAGAAATCTGACTGTATCTGTGACATGCACCAGTTTAACATAATAACCTACAGCATGACTGATAATATCACACTGTAGATTTCTAGGAATCTCAAATCATTTTGGAACATAGTGCATGTATAAATACACACATACGCACATACGCATATACACATAACATATCCATACATATAATCTTATAATGTAAAGGAAATAAAATTAAAATTACTCAATTTGATAGTGTTTCCCATCTCATTTAACATATTAAAGTAGTCTGATTTGCTCTAACATGTCTTTTGGATGTTGTGGGGCCCTCTGTAATATCCAAAAGTTATTTTGAGGTAAAAACTTAATTTAGAATTTGATTTGGGGGAACATTGTCAAAGATAGTGAAAAACTTAAATACTTGACTTAACTTTCAGCAGAAAAAGAAAGGTAAATGTTCCCCAAGTACCTTAGTAATAAAAAAGGGTTAACTCACTGTCTTGTTAACAAAGATATAATAAAATATAGCATAAAACACAAAAATTATCTTGAGACAAACATAGAACCTTTTTTTTTAATTATCAAAGGTAAACCCTTTTGCAATTTTTTCATTTTTATTGAGCAAATCAGTAGATTTATAAAAAACCTTGTTTGAATACTTTTATATATGTATTGCTGTAATACTCTTGATATTTATGTCATAATTTTTAAAAAAAAAAACTTATAATTTCTTTTAATATTAGACAACCTTGACCACATATAAAACTTCTTTTACAAGATTTACTTTTCACCACTTTTGGTCACTAGTCCTATAACTGGGCCATAAAAGAACCAAAGATCAAACTTTAGGAACGTCTATCTTTAATATGTTACCATGAATCTTATAGAACCCAATTGTTTTACCTATCTCATAACGAAAGGAACCTAATATTTAACTAGTGAAAATTAGTACTAGCCCTGCTGAGTCCTTATGGGTACCTGTCCTTGGAAACAAAGAGGGTAAAGATCCGTTAATCCCCTCATGTGTAAGGGCCCGAGCACTTGCAAAGCTACCTGTATCGAGGACCTACGAGTTGTCTGGAGCAGCTCCACCTGGCTTCTGCAGTCTTGTCAGTCATTGCTTAATCTTCAAGCCCCTTGCCGAGAACTAAAACAGGTCCTTCCTCCCTGTTTGCCCGGAAGGAAAACCCCTTAATGCTGTGACTGATTCCCTCATGCAATGAGATCTCCTCTGCATCTGTG